AATAAAGATTATTTATGCAATTATTTGACTACCACAGAAGGCATTTGAAAAAAAAACGAAAGACTTGAAAAGAAAAGGAAAATTATATTATTAGCAATTATAGGTTAGCAGTAGCGAGGCGTCCATAAACTCGATTCCCACCGGCTTGCCTAAATTTTTGCACGTATCATCAAATATTATAAATATTTTAAAGTAATTTACTACATTTTGTGCTCACTTTTACGTGCAGAATATTTAACCAGTGACATAAAGTGTACTAGTATCTTGTGTGCTCACAAACGTTGTGTTTAATTGTCGCCAAAGCGCCACTTGATACGGCTGTAAAGTGTTGTGCTTTGCTCCGGCCACCGTAGGTTAGTACATTTTAGTTTTTGGCAGACGAAACTAAACATGAACAATGTTAATTTTGACGATCTCAGTGGCTTAACAGTTAGCACTACAGACGCTGCATATGACGTCTCGGATTCGAGAACCAATTTGGGAATTTATCTAAATCGAAACGAATTCCGTAGATCTAGTGCAGGGGATTTCCTATGTAATTGGCTTTATTGTTTATTATTAATCAACAATCAAGTAAAAACGCAACATTTTTACCTAGAAGCTAAATACGTTATTCCTAGCCACGGGCAACATGTTCGATATCTGATAATGAGCCAATTTCAAAGCAATCTAACAAATGCTAATGACGACTTACACCAACGAGCTACGAAATTAACGTGCCGCTTTCAAACACGTAAACACTTGGACCAAACGTCTCATCGATTCAAAATAAATTATACTAAGTATTTTACAATGTCAAGCACGTATGCCGACAAACTCATTTTCAATGAATACGAGTGCACAATTAAATAAAATGTAATTGCATAATGATAACTTCGTCTGTCGCGTCCTTCCAACGAATCGATATACGACTATCACAATGTCAAAGCAATTTTCATATGCACACGTTATTGCTTTGTTTTCATATAATTATTCAGGTAATTTCACTCTAGTATTTCGTATTATCTACTAGTCGTAAGTATATAAACGGATTCCAAGTATTTTTTTATATGTTTCAAAAAATCATTAAAAACGTTACCGATACTCCCTGCTGAATATATAAACAAAGCCAGATAATATTTATTTCATAGGTAAGCAAGTTACACCTGAAATGGTAATATTGATTAAACTCTACTGCTCATTCTTAAGGCAGATTCCGTTGAGAAGAATGACTAATAAACTCTGGGGGTTGCTATTTGTAAATAAACATTTGTACACAGTTATCATTTACAATATTTATTTCAATCATCAATCTAACCTACAAAGAGATAAACGGGTCACTACCGCGGACTTTTGTCATTGAAGTACGCAAAAGCAGTGTAATAATAACTGCCTCTGTGGCCGAACGGTTACCGTGCCGGACTGCCACGCAGAGGTCCCAGGTTCAATTCCCGGGCCGGAAGAAATATTTGTATGGCCTACATTTCTTTGTCTCGTGAGCTTCGGTGTAATTTATGATTGTTAAGTAGTGCGGGGCTATGTTGAGTGTGTGCGTTATTATAATTATAACCTTTAGTATTGCCCCTTAAATGAATTTGTGACTTTGTGAAGACGACTATCAAGAACAGCTAGTTTATTTTTATTCCTCGTATTAATGTTAGGTCTGTCACTATTTTTCATTAAAAAAAGAATATTTTCTTAACATAAATCACATTTTCATAGATGTACTGTGATCCTAGTGTAAGAATATCACCAGGTACCGTGTTATATCCCAATTCCTATGATCTATTTTATGTTACCATTTATCATGTTTTGAAGCTTGAATTCCAATAAAGGAATTTATGAAATCCCCTGCACCATGGCTGCGTGGGCAACAATCTGTCATTTGGCATTAGCGCGACGAAGCATGCTAATGCATTGATCGACATTGTCCAGTCCTTAGATAACACCATCAATTTATATCTGACCTATCTTTCGTAGTAAACTACATCTAAACAAGTGTCCTGTGAACATGGACAATACGGAACAAACAAATTCAGTATGGAATTTTACTAAAGTCTTCAATGCAATCAAGTCACGTTTCTGAGTACACTTTGGGTGACGTGTTTTTGCAACAGTTTTAACTTCACAAACCCTAACGAAGCCTTGGCGGGTGTAACCTCGTCATCCTGCATGACTCATCCAATCATTACACTTTGTGGTGGTTTCGCACAAGCTCTACCATTACCCGTGATTGCTTTAACAAGTAGTTATGCTTATGCAAATAAGAACTGATCAAAATCTTATTTAATGTACAGAGTGCAGAGGGGGAAAAACGTTTGTTGCAAATAGTACCACGAGAGACTTCTTTGTAGTATGCCAAAGGGCATTTTGACCTAGCCCTGTTAAGCAACCGCTGTGACCAGAATACTAGGCCCTAATTGACTCCAATGCAGCTGCATTTATATGCCTTAGACACGCCACTAACACATTCGGTTCATTTGTCCAGTCTAGATTCACCTTGACGTAATTCGTCGCCAATTTTCTCGCAACTCCATTAATACCAGCGTTCTTCTTGATTAAATAATACAATGTATTATTTCCCTTTGCATTTTTTCTTTACCTGTGGAACCTTAACTTCATCATGCTGACCTTTCAGTTATTGTTGTTTTACAAATGGATGCTCTTTGAAAACTTTCTTTTGTCTATTATAGAATTGTTTGTACACAGACTGCAGAGTAGGACAGTAAAGTTTTATATCGTCGTTGTGGTTAGTTTCCATAACCGGTTTTCGCACGGCACTGGTTTGTATCAAATATATCAATTTCATTAACTCAACCGTCGGAAAGTACTTAGATAGAAGAAAGAAGAAGAACCTAGGTACTTTGGTAGTAAATTTGTTTAAGAGACCATATCGCAACCCCAAAACAGACTTCATAAATAATGCTACAAGAGAATCTAATCTAATACATTACGCAGCATTGCTCGCGCCCAATGCCGATTTTCCAAATTACATTTGAATATCTTCATACAGAAGGTAGAAAATACGGCAAAAACATCTTCTCGTGGCTAGATTATTGTTATACAACGTGATTTATGTAAAATTAGTTGTGCAGACTATACAAAGACCTCAATATATATATTTCAGTGTCGATACCCATGTTTACACGATCATCCTCCGACTACTTTCAACATTTTCTCTGCACTGCAAATATACATACGTTGCACACAAAGTTTTACGTGTCGGTGCAGATTGGCAACACGAAGCAACCCGCAATTACCGAACACACGCTGCGGCGATACACGTGTCCGAATTAGAGCGTTCGTTTCATTAATCACAACTGTCGATGTACCCTATATACCCGTGTCGGGTATTTGTCACTTCGCGTCATTTGCATTCGTTTTGTAGTTGGTATGTCATTTGGAGGTTTGTGACAAAATATTTATTAAACGCTTATTGATCATTTATTTTTAGACACCTTTGAAGCGAATATGAACGAACAATTTGAACCTTTATGTGTTCTTAAAGGACACCTTCATTTCTATACTGCCTTTATTTCAGTACTGCCGATTCAATCAAACGAGCAGTCTACTTAAAAGAGTACATTTTCGCGATCACGTAAACAGCGTCATTGGTGGAATACAAATTAGTATAATCAGGCTATTGAACTCAGTAATAAAGGCTTCGAATTACTACCTAATCGATACGTAACAGCATCGCGTCGTAACATTCGACAAAAAAATATCCGGAACCACTACAAAAGCACTTAAATCCAGTATAAATTAACATTGAATCGGCGATCGTTTCGCTTCCTCTCAAATGGTAATAAATGGAGCGGGCATAATTTTATTATTCAGTCGTCCTACGGTTGCATTTCGTTTCGAACACCAAAATCTTTTTTAAGGTAGATCAAGTACACAATTAGCCAAAATGATATACTTCGCGTAACGTATCAATAATTCTGGCCTCGGGACGCCCGGCTCAGTAATTTGAAACGCGCCACCGACGGCAAATGTCATTTTGGAAACAACATGAGCCATGTACGTATGTAGCTGATTCTGGCTGTTAGAGATGGTACGGAACTCAGCAATTTCTTTTTTATAAAGGCTACATTGAGAGTCCCGAGGGGAGGCAATAAGCACATACCAACACGACAAATGGCGTTAATAAATTATCTGGTTCATCAACATTGATTTGTGCCTATTTCAAATTCAGATTAGCCACTGTCAGTTGGCCGAGCAATATAATAGACGTGACATCTCCTGTCCAGCTCGGGTTAATATTTCATCGACAAACAATACGCACACAGAATACATTATCACTTTTAGTCGAATTTAGCCTGAAAGATGTAAACATCTTGGAAGATTTGAAGTTGAATTTAAATGTGCCCAGAATTTAGCCGACATATTAATGTTATCCGAAGTCAACCACCACCAAGCTCCATCGAAGAAATAACTAACATAGTTGCTCATTTTCCCCCTCAGAACTATAAAGCAATTTATAACCTGCTCGTATGGCGGTTCCGCGCGGCGTTACACATCCTCGTAATCTTTACAAGCTCCAACGCTGACACATGAAAGTACACGTAACAGTCGGCCGTGCAAATCCTCACAAAATACAATTACACAAAGTTTATGAACCACCTCGCAGCCTTCAGCGTCTGGAAATATTTCATTTATAGCGCTACGGCAATCGATTCACCTGCAGACAGACAAAGCTCGTCTCTTATCGGCACATAAATTATTCAGCAGCGGCAACAGCGCGCACGTTGACTACCTGTATTCCCAGGGTTTCTTGTGAAAGTTCATAACGCTATTTAGACGCCCCGCGAACTAGGGCGAACTAGCCGAGAGGACGAGAGGACCCTTGGCGAAGTAATTTGCGGATGCGACGCGTTTCTGCATACCGAGCGCAGCCCACCCGGCCCTCGCGCCGCCGACAATATTTTTGCACACCACGATGCATTCACAAAAGTTTGACGCAATTGTTGTACGCTCGGCTTCAAACTTCATTTTTTGACTAAAAAACTATTTTGTTGCAGGTACAAAAACTTCGGCTGTCGGGATAAATAAAAATGTACAGATCGTGCAAAACAACATTCAATACGAACTGGAAAACGTGAGTGATTAGTGGGCATAAAAGTTGAACAATGTGCGTGTGAGGTTCGAACACGACGTCGAATCTTTCCGAGTGGGGGGCGCTGGCGACCGCGGCCAGCGATGGTATGGACTTTGTACTGGGGAATGGGAGCGACGAGGGCTGGAACCAGACCCAACAGACCCAAGAGGGGGAGGATCCGGACCTCTACAACTATTGGGCGTGGAGCATCGTAGACGGAGCTCTGATGGTGCTCATTATAAGCGGGAATACCCTGACCATTCTCGCAGTTACCCTTAGTCGACGGTTATCATGCCTCGTCTCCAATCAGTTCGTACTGAACCTGGCAATTTCGGACCTAATGGTGGGGCTCACGCTGCCATATCACCTCGTCTTCTATCTGGACGCTGAATTTGGCAAGATCAAATGGTCCTGTTTGATGAGGTTCATTCTCATAATACTGGCATGCTTGGCGTCCATTTACAACATCATCGCCATAGCTGTAGACAGGTACGCTTACAATATATTACTGTTTTGAAAGAAAGGAGCTTAAATCAAAGAATGTAATGTAAATTTAACTCAAGTCCAACTTGTGTCACGCTACCAGAAGCACGAAATCTGTTTGCACGTGGCATGCTAATGCAAGCACGTGAACGGGGACTGGCAGTTGTATATTGAAAATGGGATTACGAGTTTCTCGTGAGACTTGAAATAAATCAAAACTAAAATTTATAAAAATAAAATTTGAAAAATTTTAGAACAAACATTAATTATAGGTAACTATAAGTATTGCATAATGTTTTAAGTCTATATAAAATAAACAATGAATTCCAGGTACATCGCAATAGTACACCCATTGCACTACAGCCGATACATGACGAAACTGGTGACACGCGTGCTGATGAGTGGCACGTGGACGGTGGCCGTTTGCATCAGCTGCATACCCATGTTCTGGAACGACTGGCATGAAGGTGTATCTTGCGAAATGAACATGGTGAGTATTTTTTCCATACTTATCCTAGGTTCACTGGTTTTCTTATCTAGTCATCGCCTTTTGACGGCAATCAGGGGAAAATTCTAGAAACCATCCTTCCATCCATCATTATCAGTTTGACTTCAAGTGCATGTTCGACAGAGATCTAAGCAAATACGATAAGTATCGCTCAATCCTCAGTCCATGTAACGAATATGGTCGGTGTGTGGGGAAAACCACTCATCGTAACTGGACTGTCCCTTCTCGCCTCTTCAGGTACGATGTGCGTCGATCAGGCACGGAAACGTAGTCTTGGTCAAATCCCATATTGAAAGCGCATTCCTCGCTTTAAGAGCCGTAAACTAAGATTTTTCGGACAATTTTCATGTTAGTTTTGTTTGCCTAATTTCGGTGGCAATTTTAATTATTAAAATGTCCTAAAATATATCATCAAGTATTGTTTAATATTCGAGTGTAGTATTCTGAAATTTTGTATAATATTGGACGATAATATACTCCAATACTTAAGTAATAGAAATTGCCACCGAAATTAGGTAGAAAAAAAACCCGAAAATTACAATTTTACTTCACTTAAAACTTCACTTTATGTTAACAAACGAATACTCCTCAAACCCAAGTAAAATCACCGGTCGTCCTTAGAACTATTACAACTAGTTTTCGAGAAAAAAGGTGTAGATTGTGAACGACAGCAGATAAATCCTAATGAAGATTAACATCTTCTACATCTATAAACGTCTGTATAATAACGAAATATATATATATATATATAATCGTTGATTTTATTGCGTCGACGGAAACTACAACATCGCAGCTATAAATTCTATGCAATAGAGAAAAAAAAACGTAAACCAGATGTGATATAAATGCAGAAAACATAAAAGCACGTCAGTTTGAAAAATCACTGCATTACTTCAAGTTTATTGTAGACAATATAGTAAATTGCTTTAATAAAGTTATGCAAAGGAGTTAGCTAAGTAATACAACAGCGGTTATGCACATATTAGTTAAGCGAAGTTTCAAGTCCCGTAATAGCTATTGTTTGTACAAAGAAAAATGAAACGTTGGAAACAACGAGATTGAATCACACGATTTCAGACTTGGCAAAATATTAAGTACACAGGGGCAAGCAGGTATAGATAAAATAACAGTAGTCATTACTTTGCGTAGGGCATACGTCTTAGATTCAATTTAATAAAAAAATATAAAATTTTTGAACTTAGATGTGTAATACAATTTGTAACAGCATTGCGGCCTCAATCACAACTAACACAAAGGTACGCGGAAAATACCCGTTATTTTATAAGGTGAAATCTACACACAATATTATCAGACTTTGGAAAGAAGCAACCGAAAAGATTACTTTTGACTAGAATTATATTTATTAGATTTTTTTTACTATAATTATATATCTCTACCACTACTGGGCACGGGTTTTTTCTAAGGAGAGTGGTCGAAGTTCCCCAAGCTAACCCAATCGGGTTTCAAAAGTTGTAACATTTCTTTTTTTTTCATCGTTATCGAGAGTTACTACTACTATGAAGTCATAAGTAGATGCCACCACATGGATTCAAACCAATGGGCTATGTTACTGATCTCTTATGTTTCAAAATTAAACATTTTTATTGCCTATGTCAAGTCATATGCGTGTATAAATGAACGGAATTGAAATTCGTTGAGACAAAGAGTTATGGGATACCGTGGCCATTCTGTTTCAAATCACTGTTTCAGTCAAAGATGAATTTGGTTAATTACAATTTCAATCTGTGCCTCTACCACGAGATTACTGTGACAGTCGTCGCTAGCGACTGCGTAATTGCTTCACAATTTTGTATGACAAATTATGCCGCGCCCCAGCGGTTACAAGAAAAAAAAACTGTCACTGTAATCTCGTGGTACACGCATTGTTAGTCACTGCGAGTGTAGAAATTACTCAGCTTTAGTATTTAGTGTGCCTACGTACTGAAATTAACTATAATCAGGCGCACAAAAAAAAAACAAAATTGTATTCAAAATCCCAAAGCATAAGGCACAAAATAAAGTCTACGCTGAACTCTAGACGCTTTACGCATTTTTCCTATCGGGGTATGCAGATACGAGTCTACCATTTGCTAAAATCCTGATACATATATTGCGCCTCATTGACACACATCAATGCATGCACGCTAATTGGTTAAGGGTACTTTTGACCTGACCTTTATTTATGACGTTCTCAATTTTAATCTGGTGATGATTTAACTGTACGCTTTAATTATGTCACTAAACCAAAGTTTTAACAAATGGAGCCAAAACCAAAACAGATGGAGCTATGGCAAAGTCGTTAAAAAACCAAAACAAAGATGTGAAATAAGCACTTGGAAATATTCATACAAGTCCGCTGGTCCGTTGGGTGGCTTAGTTAGCATAGGGTCTGGTATGGTTTGCTAGAAGACGTTGACGAATCCAGCCGGATCGAAAGAATTATTTCTAAGTGTTCGATCTTTGCATTAGTAATTATAACAAACTAGTGGAGTAATTTCACAAAAAATAATTGAATATCATAGTGGTGAAACATTTTGACATTCAATAATCTTAATTAAAACTAAACCAAATTGTCATCTTTTTAGACTTAGATGTCTATTAGAATCGAATATAGGTAAATCAGGCTTGCAAATAACTGAAACACATCTTAATTTAGCAAACGCAATGTTCCAGGTAGTACCAAAAACGTATACGACGAGTATCCTGGCACCGATGTTCTCCCTCATCTGGGTGGTTATGTTCGTCCTGTATTGGCGCATCTGGCGTGAGGCCACCTATCACGCGCGCAGGATGCGAGCCAACACCTGCCGCCCCGCTGGAGGCAACGATTGGAAAAGCATACAGGTATACCTACTTTTATACTATTGATAACTAACAAAAGAAGCTGGTAATTATTTATAATGGCACAAGTAAAAAACAAAACAAATTTGAATTTTGCCCAGGTGACTGTAGTGCCTAAAAATGCCTAAAAATGCAATTAACTTTTCCGGATCCAAAATGGCGGACGTTCATCTGACCACAGAACTTGTATAGAGTCCGAGACGTTGGTTTGTTTGAAAAAACACATGAAAAACAGTCGCAGTTCCAATATCTTGCAATCGCGAAAACCTAAAGCTCAATACGAATTCTAGATATACATAACTCCAAAACTCGAAGTCCATTACTACCTGAATTTCACATTAAATCTAACTATATAGTATCTTACAGTGTTTATACGCACATATTATACGTAGAGTTACGTTAAGATTGGGGTTTATTTAGCAATTAGAGCACCTAAAACTTTGCTATGAATTTATTAAGAGAACGTATAAACTTCCACGTACCCTAACACAGAAAGTCTTCTCGCAAAAGATTATAAGCAGTACAGCGACTATACAATGCAAATAATCAGCTCTAAACTTGAGCATCACGAAATTCTAGAAATATGCAGAATAAAGAAAGAAACTTAAGTCAGACTTGCTAAGGACCTTACATAAGCAACATAACATGTTTGGTTATAATTATTCAATATTTCGTTACAGGTGGTGTTGCTAGTGCTGGGATCATTTTCGATTTGCTGGATGCCTTTCGTCGTGGTGGCGTGTGTGCAGACCCTCAGCGACACTTCGTTGAACAACCCTATTGTGTACCGGCTTACATCGTCTCTGGCCATGTCAAATTCCGGAATAAATCCGCTGATATACGCGTGGAAGAACGCAGGGTTCAGAGCGGCATTCGCCAAGCTACTGCGTTGCAAACGTCCCGATACTTCCGAGTATAGAGGGTCACCCACTCCAGAAAGGAAAAGAGGTTCTGTCGCCCTTCGTGAAGGTTCCATTTCGCGGGCCAGCGCCCCGAACGCCTTAACCTCGCTTGGTGGACGGCCCGCCAGGCTTGTATATGTGGAAAGAGAGAATGACACGTCTCGTTGCCGGATTATAGAGAATGCAGGGTATATTGACGGGGAAGAAGGTGATATAAACCCTTCGTACGCGCCGGATGGACCCACTCCAGTGCACCGGCCAGCGGACCGACCCCCCGATGTAGTGTAGTGTGAAATGGACATTCAAAGACGTTTTGTGGGAAACGTGAAACGCTTCTAGCATTTAAAGTTGTTAGTGTAGGTACCCCCTTTGCATTTAGGTACCTTCTACGCTCAAGTTTTTAAAAGCTTTATTGTTGAATTTTTATTGAGAGATTCTAATGATTTTCCTGCCATAATGAAAATTTTAATGTAAAAGAGAGGTTTCTGTCTACTAAATTGAAATGTTTAAATGATATAATTATAACTAAAATGTTCTATGTAATTTTAAATTAAATTATATTAACTAATATGTCGCGTATTGTTATTTAATTCCCCGATAGAATAAATACTTGATAGTGTTTACGTCATTTCTATTTACTAGCAGTCACGAGAGATAGTACAATCTTAGAGTTTCAGTGATAATTTGTAATATCTTCTTTCAGGTACAATAGGACACAAGATAAAAGGCAAGGCATGCGTATTTTTATGCAAAAGGTACCATGTAAATATTGTAAACAAAGAAATATCTTTCTTTTAAGTTAATGTCATTTTTGAGCAAGCTTGTAGTATCCTGGAGCATATCTGCACTTTCCATTTTGTGGACAAAGAACGAAATCAATGAAGGTGATTTCTATTCTCAGACAAACATATACACTGCCGGTTAAAATTTTGATCCCACTTATAAAAAATACCTGCATATGGAATACCATTGTTTTATACCCTCTCGTAAATGCGCTATAATAGCGCATTGTTTCTAAACATCACGAGATTCACGAGCGCCAATGAGATAGAGTCTTTTATATTTTTAAGATCTCCTCGATGCTAAAATATTTTGAGTTTATTTAACGCTAATTAATTTTTAAGGTTGTTTAAGCTTCCTAAAACAAAGTTGTTCATGAACATGAAGATCAAGGTTTAGTGACACCCTTTATTAACGACTCTCACGCACACTAGAGGAATGTCAACACGCAGCAGTACGAACGCACACACTACACATAGAAATTATTTGGATGACGAATGAGCGGTATACGGAAAAACTTAGTTGAGTTTATGTTGTAAATAGAAAACCACCGTGAGACTCAGACATATTAACTAAAAATACTTATATATATATTATAAGTTTATGTTATACTGGAATGTTTTGTTTTCTTAGTGCTTAAAGCACTAAGTAATGTAATTAAAAAAAAAACAGTCTTACTTTAGTCTGAATTTGTGGTTTCTACAGTCAAGACGTCTTGAAAATGGAAAAAGTACGAGAAAGTAGCACCGGACTGCAATCTGCTATCCATTAATTAATACATTGAAACCAAATCTGAAGCTGTGTGTGCTTCTCAACTTAAATTATCGAAGATTTGTGCTCCTCAAACAAATATTCGATACAAGGAAATTGGCAATAATCGCGATCACCCTCGTTCAGGGCAGCCGAGGGGTACCACTACTAATGAGGTAAAGAAATGTCGACCTGTTTTATTAAGTACAGTGAAAACAAAGACGATTAAAGGTGCTGAGTTGTTCAGTCGCTTAGAGGTCCTAAAGCTTAAGTGAAGGCCACATAAGAAGAAGAAATAGATGCAATAGGCTTCTTTGGACTGTTGAATCAAAGTATTTGGTTCAAAAAGAAGCTAATACCTAAAATACCATACTACCTTAAATACCTTTATTATTTATTTATTTTATTATTTAATTTTCGTCTAAACGTATCGCCGGAGAAAAAGATGATACCAGATTGCGTGGTGCCAAAGGTCAAACACAGCGGCGGTTCCGTTATGATCTGGGGTTGTTTTCAAAGGAACGGAAACGGACATTTGGTAGGAATCGAAGGCATTGTGTAAAAAGCAATATAAAATTCATATGACAATGATCCGAAACATCGGAAAGTGCATTGAAGTACGATATGACAATTTTAGTGTCGCGATCAAAGAGTAACGTAGAACTATTCGTGATCGACGTCCTTATATTGTTATATACTACAGCTGGAACAATGTATGTCACAAGACACAATTAAACAAATTAATTGCTCATATGCGAAGACTTGTAAAGGAAATTATATGAATGCAAAAATAATTTCTTCATTTGTAAAGCGTTTTACATAATAAATAAAAATTCTGTTAACATTGTTGACGACTATTTTGAGATGTGTAATATGTGAATGTATAAAATTTTTGACAAATAAACTTTTAGCTTCGTACACATTCAAGTTTATTAGTTTTTTTTAACCGACTTCAAAAAAAAGGAGGTTTTTCAATTCGACTGGTTTTTTAGTATGCATGTTACGCGATAATTCCGGCATTGTGAAACGATTCAGAGACTTTTAAAGAAGGTACCTCAATAGTGGTCCCATTTAAATTTGAAGAAAATATTTTACCTCTAAGGGTGGCAAACTAGGGGATGAATGACTTTTGAGGTCAATTTTTTTAGGACTCTGTACTGAGATTACTTTACATGATACCATGACGGGACGAACAAGTCGCGCCCGTCACCCAGGGACATAAAGTAAGATACAAAAGTAATACAATACTTATTCTTATCAAATACAACTTTATCACTATTTGTTATCGTATGTAGCAGTAGTAGCCAGGAACGTTTTTTGTTAATCTATTTTGTCACTCTCAAAAATTACTTAATGAATATAATCAATACACAATGTAATGCGAAAAACGTATTTTACCAATCCACTACGATAAACTACAACAGCCCAGGTATGACTAATAGTAAATTACGCTGTGGCCCGATTCAATAAAACATAAGAGTAAACACCATAAAGCCCAATTGAAAACATCTTATCAGAGGACACCGTTAAAGAAATCCCCTACAGCAAAAACTAGTTCTTTCGTCACCATAACTGGGCAAAAGGAATTAAGTTAAGAAAATACCCCTTCTACGTTTTTTTTCATCAAGTGACAGGACGAACAAGTCCTGCGCCTGGTGGTAAGCGACACGCCTGTCCATTATAGTTGCAGTGCCTCTCAGATTCTTAAATTGCAAAGATATGACACTGCCATTGTGCCTATCACCCTGAGACATAAGTTGACAAGTCCCATGTGCCTGTAATTTCACCAGCACCCTTTCCCTTCTACAACCGGAACGCAGTAATGCTCACATTATTTTCACTTGTACATGTGTTTTAAATACGAATTCTGTTGCGCCCTCAATTAATTATTATCTCACAGTTTTTCCCGTAACACGAAGGTTGCCTGGAAGATATTGCTATATAGCAATAAGGCCACCTGTTGTACCTGTCTTTTTAGTTTTTTGTATTATTTTGTATTTGTCCTAGGGCCATATTCCAGAACTCTACTCAATGCTCAAGTCAGGATTTGAGTATGGTTTAAAGCACTCGAAATCATACTCAAGTCCCTGCCATTAGGGTCCTATTTCCAGTACTTGTGTTTCCAGTGCAATCCTGACTTGGGCATTGAGTAGAGTTCTAGAATACGACCCCTAGTGTGCAATAAAGAATATTTGTATTGTATTGTATTACTGCTTGGCGGTAGAAATAGGTAAGGTGGCAGTACTTTCCTAGATGAATTCTTTCACAAGGAGCTCTAATGCTACTAAAACCTACCTACGTCCCACTGCTCAGCACGGGTCTCTAAGGAGTTTGCCTCTCATGCGGTTTGGAGACTTCACGGACTATACGTTTACAAAAGGGTTGTGAACCGGCACCGGTAGCGAGAGGCATTGCTACTAAACACACAAACGTACGTAACTTAGAAATTAAAGTCATAAGCTGTGGCAGCTTGCACTTTTGAGTTTTTCCGAATTCATGCGTTAATTTGAAATTTACTTGTAATTTTTAAGTTTATTGAAGATCACAACTTTTGACCACCTTGATATTTAATTATTTTTGTGAAATTACTCCACTGGTTTGTTATAATTATTAATACAAATCGCTCATTTAGTGCAACATTGACTTAATTGCAATTTTGGCATAATTGAATTAAGACTTAATTAATTACATATTAACATCCTTTATCCAAATTTGCCAAAATTACAATTACATCAATGTAGCACCAAATAAGCGAAATATCGAACACTTAGAAAAAATTCCTTCGATCCCGCCGGATTCGAACCAACGTCTTCCAATAAACCGTATTAGACACTGTGCCAACTAAACCACGGAACGAACTAGCGGACCTTACGAATTTATCTATGTGCTTTTTGTAGGTTTTTCGTTTTTAACGAATTTTTTGCTAAAGCGCCATTTGTAATGAAACTATTTCTTCACTCACCTAGATACCTTTACGCTAACAGCCACAGCTTTAATTTAATGTCACATTGTTTCATGTTTGAAATCATTGACTTACAAATAAATGGATGACGGGTCTAATACATAAAACACGAAAAAAATGTCCCAAGTCAACCTATTTAAACGTAGTGACATGTAAAGGAATATGAAAAAGCTAAAACGTTGAATTTAAATTGTAATGTCATCGCAGTACTGTCTAATTTTGCTTGCTTCGCTGTCAGTCGAACAAACGAAGACTAAAGCGTGAATGACGCTCTGTATACGATTTTAACGCCCTATAAGTTCGGACACATTTTAGCGCGGACACGACGTCCGTATAATTGTAAGTTAATGTTTGAAAATTACTTATTTACATCTCTTTAACTAACTTTATTCATACATAGACGAAGCATGAATAAAATTAGTGAACGAAGGCCCGCGTGGGAACTACACTACAGCACAAGCCATCTGATTGTGAGAGTAGGCCTGTGGCTAACAGTGGCATATAAAGGCTAATAATTAATAGTCAAGTACTTGCTGTCACAGGGATTCGAACTATGGACCTCTCGATTTAGAAGTAGCCGTTCACCCATTGGGCTACCAATCGCTCTTTCGTCAAATCGGATATACGATGATAAGGCATTACTAAATAAAAGAGAACGCTGTAATCTGTAAGCAATGCCTTCGCTCTAGATTTCATCGTCCTGGGATTTTTTTGATTGCTAGATATGAAAAGGACGACGGGGGCTTTCCCAGTTTAGTCCATCTTTGTATATATAGACGGTGCCACTTCCAGCAATACCAATCGGAAGTGAACATTCAAACAGTGAAAGTCATAGGAAATCTGATATAACAGCTTCAGCGCAAACAGTAGTTTTAAAAGGCGAGTTGCATTGATGTACCTACAATATATACAGAACTTGAAACTTTTATAGTGGAATGATCTTTTGTTTTAAAGCGTATTATGTATACAAATTATGTCATGACTAATTAATTATAACCAATTTTAGTATACTTTTAACTTAAAACATGTTTTCCTATAGTTATTATGTAAAAATAAATTTAGTATATTTGTAGCCAGAAATCCGGTAAATAGAGCACGTCTTTATCAGTAACTAGAACGTGACAAAAAAATTTAAATGCTAATGTTTAAATGGTAGTAAATAATACATTTTTCTTCATTTACAGGTGAATTTTACATATATTTATAACAAAATGATGGGCACAATAGGAGAAATAGTGCAAAGGCTCTATGAGTTTAAAAAACACATGGACGCGTCTCGAAACAATTTATTTTACGCTGAAGTTCAACTAGAGTCACAAACCATGAATATTAAGGACCTTGTAGATATATCTGTCATCTGGTACCTAATCTACAACTTGCTTTACCACTTCCGCGGCACAAAGGCAATGGAAATCATAAAAGGGATCGCGTGCCTTATCGCTTTGCGTATACTAGCAGAATTCTGGGGCCTGCACACGGTAGCGCAAATATTGGACCACTTCATACAGTGCGGAACGATCGCTCTGATTGTAATTTTCCAACCAGAAATACGCAAACTATTCGAAAACTTGGGGAGAAAGGTATACATTAAACAAAAAACTATAAACTTTAATGACAAAACAATAACTGCCCTAGACGGTGCGATACAATATCTAACGGAACGCAAAATTGGCGCATTGATAACTTTTCAACGGTGCATGAGTTTAGACGAGTACATTGCAACTGGCATTGTTTTGGACGCGGCTATAACTGAGGAGCTGTTGATAAGTATTTTTATACCTAAAGCCCCGTTACATGATGGAGCAGTGATCATTAGAAACGGAAGAATCGTCGTGTGTTCGGCGTATCTGCCTTCGTCGGAGAATTCGCAGATTCCAAAAAGATACGGAACTCGGCACCGCGCAGCGATCGGAATGGGCGAAGTGAGTGATGCAGTCACTGTGGTTGTCTCAGAAGAAACGGGTGAAATCAGTATCACAGCGAACAATGTCTTCTATGACAATGTACCTAAGGAGGAATATCGTAATATTTTGCGCAGAGAATTGATTCAGAATGAAAACTCTGGCGAAAAGCTTAAGATGTAACTTAATTTAACACCGACGTATGAGTCTCAAGTTTGAATGCATTTAATTGATACTTGTAACGCAAGATAATAATAAATGTGTGAAGTTTTTGATTGATATCTATAATATTTATTAAATAAGCCAACTATCTTAAAGTATTAGTAACAAAGAAGTTACCTTAATATGTCTTTATGTTTTAACGAATAAAAATTGAAATCATAGAAATCATTGCAGATCTTTATTTGTAGTGTGCAATGCAATCAACTTCTCGGTCATTCTCGGTGTAGTGTTCACTACTACAGATGTGTCTTTACCCAACAAATATCCGTCAAAGGATAAATATCCAATAAATATTCGATTTCACTGAGTATTTATCCTAAAACATGGATAATTATTTTTGTGTTTTTATAATAAAATTCATTTGAATTAATTTTTTATTAAATAATTACGTACGATTACTTCTTATTTTGCCATCGTTTTATGTATCATCCTGTTTTAGTACCAAAGTTTTTCGAGCCGATAACATCTCACCAATGGTAGGAATGTAAAATAATTGCAACATACTCACCTAAACTTTTATCAACATAAAAGCTGGCTGGTATAGAAAATTCGATTGACAAAAAGTTATCAAATGAACTGTAACCCTTGAGCTAACCTATCCTGCGACCCCACTTTATGGTCTTGGGGTCTACTGCGTACTAAATAAAGTTATGTCATGACTTGAAATAGCCCAAGGATTCTCTTTCACATTTCACACACAAAATCTGCTATATCATATATATGAGCTGTGTACAGTTTTTTTTAAATAAATATTGAACAACCGAAAATCCTTATATTCTATACACGAAGCTGGACAACTGTACAATAACGGACCAACATAGTAACTTTTAAAAAAATTGCAGCTGATTAATATTGTGTGGAGACAATTTTTTTAACAAACTACGCATTTAAAAAATAATAAGGTTCACGCAAAAATACAGGGATTTATTGTAATAAAAACCATTCTTTTCATTACTGCGTATAGAAAAAAGTATAACAAGCAATGTACTATACGTACATGCTACTAAATTGTATCAATGTTTACAATTAAGCTTAAAAACATACTTCGTTTTACTAAATATAAGAAATAAACTACGATTTAAAATATTTATCCTCGTTTTTAGTTAAATAACGAGTAAAAATGGATATTTATCCTGAGTATTTATCCGAATGATATTTATCCATGACCCATCTCTATTCACTATCCAATTTCCGTCGCAATTTTTATTGTTTAAATGAAAAGTATAGTATCGTGTAATATTTCACAATACGATAATCGAATATTAAATAATATTGCACGATAAAAAAATCGAATACTTAAATAATGAAAACTGCTACGGAAGTTAGGTCGTGAACACTAGTCCGAGAATGAACGCTTAAATGTACATGTTTGTATACAATTTTGCGACCTCCAGCGCCCTCTTTATTTTTACCGACGAAGTTTTACGTAAACCTACTACTGTACTAAATAGTCGGTCTCGGTCAACTCTAGAGAACGCAATAAATCACTGTATATCGCATAGATGGCGTGGCACACCAAAGAAACATCGCAGCGAAATGTTATCAAATAAAATATTTAGACATACATATATACGAACGCACGAGTACAAAAAAGCTAATTAGTGATTAAATTCTAAAGAATATCATGTGACTCACCTCAACACCAGTTACTCCAAGAGCAGTTACCAAATTGGGAGTCATCCTGAACGGGACCTTCTCCGGAACACGCAGTGTCTTCCCTTTCTCGAAGCACACGTTATAATCTATATGCACCACTTCACCAGACGTCAAGTCCACCAACACATTGTCCAAATGTCTGTCTCCCAGGCCAATGATGTACCCGATAGTGCTCATCACAGCAACCGAATAGCTGTACCGTCGCGTCATTTGCCACCAATGCTCAGGCGATACGCTACTGCACCACAGCTCACGCCACAACAAATCATTCGGAGTTTCCGCAGCTAACTCTTGCATTACTTGCTTCAGAATCGATACCGGCCATTCTTTTCTATTCTCAGTCGAAATACCAGCTTCTTTTAACAATGGATTCAGCTTGTTATAGAACAATTCGGAAGGACGTAACACATTGACAGTTTTATTCGTTTTCGCAGATAGTATAGCTGCTTCACGGTTCTGCCAACGTTTGTACAGAGCGAATAGAGGCGTTACATTGTCGACCCAACTGATCAAACCTGAGCGTGGTCCCAAAGGAATCACAGAATAGTGACGAGCTCTATATGTTTGGTTATCGTTGTTTTCAGAATCTCGCGCCATCATAGTATTTGTTATAGATAGCAATTGCATTATTCTCTCGTCGAGGTGTAGATCTTCCAGACCTTTGAACAGGTACGTATACGCTTTGCCGTCTGACCCGTAAAATACCAACTTTTTAGGTCTAGTTTTGGTCGGTAATATTGCAACATTGTTTTCAACTGATTTTATAGTCACTCTAATGGCTCTCTGATGCGTGTGTACTCCGGGCATTGTAATTACAGTGTTTTTCAAATCAGCTAACACTGGGCTTATATCGGACATCTTCAGAATGTATGAAGTTCTCTTGTTAACTTTCTGTTGAAGTTTAATTTGTAACTGTTTCAGCGGTGCCCAAGATTCTTGTGGTTTCTCCGGATTTGCCGGATTTTTCAATTTATCAATAACGTCAACAATAAGACCTTGAAATCTGTTCTGAAACGCAACTTCATGCGGTGTTTCAGGCTTAGCAGATGTGATTTGATGTAGATGTTCTAACACGTAGACTAACGGTTCAAATATTATACGGTGTTTTTCCTTGATTAGTTTTTCTTTGTCTTCAGCTGATAAGTTTTCATTGTTCTTAACTTTAGCTACTTCTGCATCCAATTGCTGTAGTCTCTTACTGAATTCAGTATGATGTTGAACCAGAGTCCCGAGGCATAATTCGTCCCAAAGCAAGTTTATTCGTTGTAACTCCTTTACCAACAGTTTTACCTGTAAAATTGTCGTTGGAGCTTGTTTCGCTAAAGTTTCGACCATGTCCAGAAAACATGAGTTTAATTCGTTGTTAATAACTTTGTCACTGGCGGCGTCTTCAGGATCATTATTTTCTTCACTACTTTCTCCGTCGTTTGAAAGGTAAGATCGTGCCATGCTAAGATCTGGTAAGTCACTTTGCTCATTTTCTACAGCCCCAACGACAGCAGGGAAAGTAATCAAATGTGGTGTATCTTCCGCCAGGCGACACAATAAATCAGACACGCATTTTCTGACATACGTTTCAGGGTGATTAAGCCTCGAGAAAAGTTGAGGAATTATAACTTTCCACGGTTGAGTAGGGGTGTTTGCAAGACCTGATTCAAGCACAGTTTGTAATTCCATGGCATGTTTCACAATTAAACGTAAAAGCCGAAGAGTGGCATTAACAACGGCGTTTTCTCCACTATGGTTTATGTAGTCAGAGGCACAGATTAGCTGCAGGAATTTAAAGTATGCGTCAGCTGACAGTTCAAAATATGAAAAGACTCTCTTTTGCGCTTGTCGCCAAATGTCCACCAGCAATGCGAGGTGTTCAGGAAATGCGTTACTTAGCGATGGCACAGTGCGTAGTTGACTCTCGATCATTTCCGACGTATTGATCTCATTCCAATCAATGTCTTCATCGTCACACGTCGCCTTTGTTTTAGACAGTATTTCGCAAACTGCTTCGAAGTCTTTTGGTGAACAACCTATCATTACGCTTTCTATTTGCAGTTTATCATTTTCAGTGAGTTGTTCTCGTGTCTTAGAGCTGAACTCTACCATTTTGCGTCCCCATCTGAAACACCACGCAGCAAAGTTGGCCCACGCTTTGGCTAGCCCAGGACATTGATTAACACCAAATTGCAAGAGTTTTCCCACTGCAGAGTCTGATAAAGGAATAACGTTTTCAGAAATATTATTGTCGACCAATCCGATCTCAGGAAGTGCAGATACTAACTTCAGCAAAGGCGAATCAACTTCTAGGATATTTTCGTTGTCATTCTGCACCCACTTAGATAAAGTGAGAAGCATTCTAGTACCCTTCTCTTGTAGTTCATAGCTTGGCTCACCCATAGCTAGTCTTTGTGAAAATCCAAGGGAAATGCTTGCGCACAAATTGATAGCTCGAGTTTTAGTGTCTTCCTTCTCATATGTCAACTTACATAATTCAGTCAAAGCAGAAGCATTATTCAAAGTCCAAATATCCAGGTCATATGTGTTGCTGGAAACTAGTAGAACGTCACTTAATTCTTCCAAGTCATTGATATTACCCAAACACATTTGAAATGCTGGGTTCTGTTTGAAATGTTTGGTGAGCTCTCCCTTTGCCATCATAAAATTGGCGTTTTTTCGTGCACATTTTACCACATCTAAACGAATACATTCCGCGTAAAATGTATTTTCTTCTGTAGTATTCAGTTTACAGAAGTATTGATTCCACCATAAAATACGACTTAAGTTCTTCATGTCTGTTCCGTATTTGTTATCTTTCATGGCCGATGGCTTAAATGGATTAGATACAGACCTCCCATTTCTGATTATGTTTCGCAAACCATGATTTGCTAATTGTAGCAGTGCTACTTCTTTCAAGAAATAGACAGCGTCCGTTCTAGAAAACTCTTCCGTGCTTGAGTTCAGCAAAGCTTCGCATTCTTTTAACAAGCCGTCATATTTTTCAGAATAATCTGTGTAATACATATTAATGGCAGAACAAATTAAAGTCGATTCAATTTTGTTAAGCAACCCTTGGTAAGAGCAAGTATTTTTCGATATTTCATTTGCTTCAGTATCCAAGACGTCCCAATTGCACAGATCTGCTGGCATGGCTCCTCCTTCTTCGAATATCCTTAAAGCAGTGAGAGAATCCCACTGGGAGTTTTGTTTGTTGTTCTGATGCTCATTATTTTTCCATTCTTCCATATCATCCCAGTTCTGTATGTTTTTGTAGCTGTCCATTATTTGTTCATCAATAAATTTTACGCACCTCGTGTCAACTTGAGGTTTATCGAACTCTTTCTTTTCGTCTTGTGATTTATTCAGTTTTTTGTAGAATTCCAATGCTACTTCATGTCGAGAATTGGCTTGCTCAGCCGCTCCTTTCAGCCACAAGAACTTCTTGTCAAATGTATTTTTGATCCAAACGTAAAGCCCGTGTAAAACTTCAGGTTCTTGAATTTTTATTAAAGCTCGTGTGACACTCATAGTGATGGCTTCCACATCAATATTGGTGTTAGAATTTGCCGCAGTTTCAAGTATGAGTGAGGCGTGGTATATTGCAGCACCAAAATGGCCAGAGTATAAGCTCACAGCTAGGGCTGCCGGACGAACTCTTGTCAGCCATTCTCTGCAAGTCGACCGATTCGTATGGAAGAATGTTCTCACAGGCTTGCACACGGCTGGCAATACCGACGCTGTCCCTTCAGCTGCGTTATAAATGTATTTTTCGAGAAACATCATAAACTCAGTGATCCAACGCGACCTCACTTGCTCGGCTACCACAACGTCAACCAACTTTTGCTTTTCGTTAGCGACGTACTTCGTTTCTAAGGATGACGTTTCGCGTGCTATTGCTTTCAAAGCACCTTCGATTTTCATAAATGTCTCTTGCGGTTTTCCTAGCACTGTTCTCAATTTTAATGTAACGCAAGTTTGAGCCAACTCTGACAGTGCCCAACCAATACAGATAGAAGAAAAATTTGTAGCACACTCACGGAAAAACAGTAGGTTGTTTTCATCTGATTCATGTGTCTGTAGAGGCCACGACGTCAAAAATGCATCTATTAAATAGATCTTGTCATCAAATGTAAGTTGAAGGAGACAATCCATTATTACTTTGAAATGCTGCTTGGATAAAGATGTGAATGAGCCCTTCATTAAATATTCTTTGTATGAATTCATTTTAGTGTCATTATTGAGCACACTAAGGTTGACTTTGCGGCTAGTAAACACTTTAATAACTTGTTTATCAAGTTCCATCAAAACAATGTCCCAAGGCAATTCAAACAACAATTCTTTGCATATATTTGACAAAATTTTGTTATTATTATCAAGGTGCAGAATGCATATTCTAGCAATCGTCTTTGACACCATGACATTCCAACTGAGGCTTTTATTTTTCAGTAAATGCTGGCAATTTCTCATTACGAGTAACACAATGTTGTCGTCAAAAGTATAAGCCAGTGATAACATGTTGGTCACGAGAACAATGAACCCTTTAGACATGCTCACAATTGGTAAATATTTGTCCAATTGACAAAATATGTCTGATATCCAATGTAGAACAAGCAACAAACTTTCTTTTGATGCGTCTTCATCCAATATAATGCTGAGGGTATTCAATATGATAGCAAGATGCCCCGACGTAGGGCTTGAGCCAGAAACTTCACCCAGATTTAAAGTTGATAAGCCAAATATGTCATTAGCTCTCTGTTGAGTGTTAGTTACAAGATCAGTTGAAGCAATAAAATGGTTGTTTCTCTTACAGTGAGAATACAGTAAGTACACGATGGAATATTGAAGTGCTGGCTTTACTTTTAACAAAGTGTCATCATGTGGACGCATTTTGATTGCTAACAATTCTAAAATGCTTGGTTGCAATGCCCACAATCCAATAATGGAATTACTTGCATTAGCCAGTTCAGAGAGGCATTGTAGGTAAAATATAACATTTTTCTCTGCTTCATCATCTGCTACTTCTTCACCATATTCTGGCTGAATTATTTGTACATTCGGGACAATAACTGAATATGAATTCTGTATGTCTGTCAGAACAAACTTGTACGTCTCCTGCAGAAGTGGTATATTTTTCAAATTCAACAGATTGCTATATACAGACATTACTCCTCTTTGAATTTGGATGCTTTCAGAATAACGCAATGGTCGCAACAGTGATTCAGTCCCTATTGTTTGAGTAATAAATTCAATAGGCAAGTTGGAAGCTATCTCTTTAATAACTGTAGATATCAAATTGATGATGCTGAGGCAAACATGCTCATCCACTTTCAAATACCTTGTCATTTCCATGGCGATCATTGAGAATAGGGCAGAAGAGCAAGATGATGATTTCCCTTGCAGATATTTTAATAAGAGAGTAAGGCATTCATTTCCAGCCAGTATTAAGTCAGAATCAGTGTCCTCATCTAATGTTTTACCTAAAACTTGTAGGACTTTAGTCATAGCATCCGTTAGAAATGACCAAGAGACGGTTTGAGATGCAGAGGGATTCAGTAAACTTCCCAAACTCTTTACAACAGTGTTGAAAACATTCAGAAATGATGTAATCTTTTGAATGCAGTCCTCCAGTGAGTTTGGTTCAGTATCAGCATCGCTTTTATTGGAGTCCATGTCATTAGAATAGGCTACCATGTCCTCTAAAAACTGATTCAATAAATTGACTGAAAACCCAATATTTGCTTGCCAATGGCGGCTCAGTTTGAACAGAGACTGAAGTGCAAAATCCTTAATTTTTTTTGGTTGTGCATTGTCCACATGCCAACCAACTAAAATATCAACCGTGTCAACAAAGTGGTTGGCAAATTGTTCTGGATAAGAGTTGGACATAACAATCATGGCATTCACAGCAGCCATAAACACATCTGCAGAATCCGTGCCTTCAATGATGCCCTGGAGACGCTCCAAAGTAATGTCAGCAAAATCACTTAAGTTTGGTGTCTGGTAGTCTAGTTGGAAAGTTTCAGTAAATGACAAAGTTAACAAGTGCTTTATAGAGGTGTTGTGCACTGCATACGTTGATGCAATCCATTCTAAGTGTTTTCTGAAATCAGGCCCCATGACATACCCAATCCTGCCCAGCACGACAGCTGCACTTTCCTTTGTTTCAGGGCCAGGAGCGTCATACAACACGTCCAGCAGAGATTCCACCAAAATATCATAAGATCTTCGTATATATCTGGCATTCTCTGGCAACATGACTGCATCTTGCAGTTTACTGCAAATGACGAGAGATTTCTCCACATCTACCTCGGCGCACAGGCGGCGCAAGAGTTTGGAAATGCGAGGGTCCTCAGGCAGGTTCACGGCTAACTCTGGTCTCTCGTAAAATTTGTTACTACTTCCTTGTGACCAGGAGTCGTTGTTGGGTGGTCCTAACGGTTCGTGGTACTTATATGGAATATCAGCTGAGTCGCGGTCACAGCGAGGCGGGAAACCGCCGCGACCTCTTCCACCGCCGCGGCCGCCGCCCCGTGAATGGCGGAACTCTGTGACCCTGCCCCGAGGTCTATACCGGCCATCTCGCTGGGGACCCCCAAACGAAGAAGGCGCATCATACGACCCAACATAACCTCTGACCTTATCATCCGTAGTGTTTTCCTGCGCGATCTCGTCGTGTTCCCTACCATCTGGAGCCTCCGAACCTTTTGTATTTTTCACTTTACTACTTGCAGTGGTGGATAACATCACTGGAACTTTTATTCGGTGAGTAAATAAAACCACACATGGCCGTAAAAATTACGACAAAATACGATAAAAACAGACGTTGCTCAACGGAACTGACAAACAACTGGAAAACGTCATAGACAAAATGATAACTGTCAAACATCTCCACGATTTAACTGATTCTTGAACGAACAAAATTAATCTGTTTAAACTTTACAGTTTGTTGAGATATTACTTACATTCGCATACATTATATACACCGGTCGTACACTCGTTCTGGTTTGTATTAAATGATAATAATATTTTTGAGATAATTTGTTATTTTTAAACGCAGTTATTCTCGAACGAAGTCACGAATATTAAATTAACGAACGAAAATGAAAACGCCATAAATATAACCTTCAAATTAGTGTAACAACACGATCCTCTTGTATTAGTAGTTTGTGATGATCCCAAAAAACTTGATAGTAGAGTTAATTGTTAAAAAAAGTAATTAATAAAAAACCAGAATCTACAACGATGAAGGCTGCTAAACATACTCTTAATTTCAAAGGTATGTTTTTTTTATAGAAACGTCTTGTACTTAACTATTAAGTATACTTATACTCTTATTTTGCAGCTCTTGAATTGCAACTCACGGAAGAATCTACAGCTCCACATGTAATATATTTGAAGGAACATTCAGTCAGGGAACATACGAAGGATAAACCGCAAGGACGAACTTTATTAGCAGTCAATATACCACCTTATGTAGACGAGAAGGGCATCAAAAACGCATTTAGACATGCTGGTCCCATAGAGTCCGTCCAGTTCTTATTAAAACCCTCCACTGCAGAAGTAAAGCCTATGAAAAAGTTCCTACCAGACCCTGAAAAAACTACATTTAAAACTGCATACATAGTCTTTGAAAAAGTAGCACAGCTAGACAAAGCATTGAAGTTATCAAAACTAGAACCCATGAACTCTGAAAATCATACATTAAAAATAGGATTAAAGAAAACGATAGATCAGTATAACAATGATGTCCTACAACCTAAAGCTTTGAAAGAAAAAGTTGAAACATTTATGGAAAGCTATGATGAATATGTTAAAAAAGAGGAGACGAGGGAGAAAAAATTTGAAGAAGAAGATGACGAAGGATGGGTGACAGTTACAAAACGGGGTAAGGTCCAAAGTTTTGCCAGAACAGAAAAAATTGAAAACAAAATCAAGGCAAAAGAGGAAAAGGGGAGAAAACGCAAAGAGTTAAAGAACTTTTACACCTTCCAAATACGAGAATCCAAAATGAAGCACATTGTGTCACTAAGACAAAAGTTTGAAGAAGACAAAAAAAAAATTGCTCAGATCAAGCAAAACCGTAGGTTCAAGCCATTTTAAAATAAATAACAAATTTCTTATCACAGGTTTTTATTTCAATATTCATCTCTCTTATTTAGGTTAACAATATGAAAATTCCTTAAACATGAAAATCTTTCAGATACATTATAGGTGTGGAATGCTATCTAAACACTTACAATGTGTACATATTTTGTACTTGCATCATTAACTCAATTTATAATAGCAGGTTCATTAAATAACGAGTCTTTATAACAAAAACTATGATTTCCTTAGTAGTCTTTTTAAAATGGAGTTCATATACATATAACTTAATAAATAAAATTACATATATTGTCAAATAGTCGCCTGGTGCGTATTCATAATGATCCTAATCAGTCGATTTTCAGGCAGGTTTGTCAGTAGAGACAGCAAGTTGCTAACATTGCCATACACACAACCGTTGGCGAGGGCTACTTGTATTGATTGGCCCATTCGATCAAGGCAGTCCTGCGAACCATAACACATTTGATGTTAATGATCAAATTAGTATTATTTCAATTATTTCATGTACCACTTTATATAAATAAACAACAAGTTTGATATCATGGCTAAGGAGAAAATTTTGCTAAAAGCTAACCATACAAAAAAAATTGACAACCTGTAATTTGCTATCAGTAATTACATTGCCTCCATTCTGTACTATCTGTTGAGCATATATTAGTACTATTGGTATCAGTGCAGACAACTGCTGTGCGTTCACCGCTGTGGGGGGCCCATGTGTTCGTCTTCCAGCCCGTAAGCTCTGGAGCACTCCAAGTTGCAGCTTGATATAGAGCTCGGACTCTGTGTAATGTTTATTTGTAACAGGCTTTATGTGGTCTTTGATGCCTTCTATTTTGATTTTCTTTGCTGGTATTGGTATTTCTACCATTTCTGAATCTGTAGGGACAAAAAATACACATTTGACCTATTTTTGTTTTTATCTGTCACATAGAAGAGACAGTTAGGATCAAAAGTAATCAAATACTTAAGATACAAACTTGACCATTATTTGTTAGGCTTATTATTATGGATTTATATAATAAAACCAATTACATATACTCTACAGTACTCTCTGAATATAAAAAAACATTTTTTTTTTGTATAAATAATTAGCTGTGAGTGCAAACGCTTTTACTATAGTAATTTCCATTTTCATTCTATTTTTTTACACACAGTGTAAAAAATGTATACATATTTAAGGTATAACTGCATTAATATGTAAACAAAATCCATAATAATCAAATGATTTTGATGTTTTATTCTTTTGCCAACATAGTCATTCAAAATATTTTATGACTTTAATGAATAACATGATAATTTAATTTATGTATGAACAAATTGAATTTTAATCTATATACATTCAAATGCAGGGAACTATTTATTATGAAATCAGCTACTTGGTTGAATGCACTAGTCATGTTTCGCCTTTTTCATTAAACCAAAGCATGCATACAATTAATTACAATAATTAATACTGCGATAAAGTTTACCATCATCAACATATAAAGGAGCCAATGCACACCAGTGTATGAGTCCAGATAAAGGTGTAACGGCCGCCATTGGGATAGCTCCCACTGGCAAAGCTGCTGGATTTAGCTGGGCTGACATGCAGAGAGATGGATTTGAGAACACCTGAAAATTACAAAGCAAAATTCAAAAACACACTTCACTTTTATTTTATGCATAATAAGTAATAACTTTGTCTATAAATAGTGATTTCAATAGGCCTTGTGTAAACAATTTGTAACTTTGAAAGCATCGCAAACAACCTATGCTTATAATGCTTACTCAAAAAAATGTATTAAATATTGATTGTTAAGATACAATAAATAATGGATAACTGACCCAAGATGTAATGACTTCTAACAAATTTTTGGGTGGTAACTTTTTTATTCCCTGGACGTCTTTCATATAAAGCTCGGTGACTGCAGTAATAAAGTTAGCAACAAATTGTGGTGCAGTGTTTGCAAGCGACTTTAGGGCCAGCTGGTTGGATGTGTTTAGATGAAAATGATCTCTTATTATGTTTTCTGCAAGCTGGAGAGATTGAAGAGAAGAACAGCCCATCTGTTGCAACCATACACCTACAGCTAGAAGGACCTGAAAATATAAGCATTTAGAATTACGTCAACACGAATATGCTCTAAAATGTCTTTTACTACAGGGTTTCTGTGGGTCTGCTCTATACTAGCTTAAATAAAATGATATGATTGTGTGATGAATTATTATTCATAGTCATCACTACGTTTTTGGAAGTATTCATAATTTTTTATTCATAAGTCATCAGTGCGTTTTTACTGGGACAGTATGGGAAAATACTAAACCAAAGAATATACATACTGTGCGGACCGATTACGAATTCAATTTGCTAGCAATTATATAATTTTTTTTCGTATACCTACTTACAGGTGTACTAGACGCTGAAACAGCCATACTAGCGAGAATGCTTAATATTTTCAATCTCCGCTGACCTTCCATACCACCGAACAACGACAAGAATATCGTATTTTTCGTGGTCTCGCTGCTACACGACGACAAATACTCGCAGATTACATCTATGAGCTGTAATTCCTGAAGAGGATTGAGGCCTCCGCTGCGTCTCCCGCCCCGACGATCACTCTCGCAAAATACAAATTCTGTCATAATTTCCATTGCTATATCCATCTGTTTGTTCGTGGGAGCTGAGCGTCCTACTAATAATTGCTCTAGAACAATAAATATTCGTTTTAAGAAATTTATTAATTGTTTAAAGAGAAATGAGGACTAAAATATTTTGCAAATATAGGAAATATAACCTCACCAATTTTTATAAGTGCTTCTTTTGCACTAGCTGGAAATTCATACTTTCTTAAGGCATGTTTTATGTCTGATATAGACATTTTTGTTAGTCTATTCGACCTAAAATCAACTAAATGAGACTTCACAATAAGACTGAAAAATGTAAGATTTGTTTGGCAAATTACAAAACGCTTATGAATTAAATTTTGGTTTAGGACAAAGTAGTAGACAACACAAAAACATTGCAGATTTCTATAGCTCTTATTCACTCACGCATTCCGTGTACTCTGTTTTTGGTACTGTTTTTTCCATTGGAAAAGGCAGAGGCACTATAATAATGCGCATACAGACAAGACTCAAGGGTCGTATTCACGTAGTATCTCTTATTAGTTTGTGCACATTAGAGATGGGTCGTCGACGCGTTTTCCGTTAACGAAACGCAACCGTCCATCGTCGACGATCAACTAGTCGGTCAACTAGTTAAATTTGTCGACTAGTCTGTCATTCAGCTTAAGTTGATTTTCGTTCGTAAGACGAGTTTAACTGAATCAACTAAAGTAGCTTTTGAGAATATGAACTATAGTTTTGGAAATTAATTCATTTCCAACGTTTAACATGAGCGCGGCTATCGACGCTTTTAACATACTGCAATAGAGTTTAATTCCGATAGATTCAAGGGCATTGCGTCACAACGGGCGCAACGTCTCTCTCTCGTTCTAGCGAATTAACTACACCGTCATCCTTTTTGTATATTGAATGCACTATTGCAATCATAAATAGCATAACAGACTTATCTTACTTCATCGCACATATTCAAATATCAACTTACAATTACAGAATTTAAAGTTCAAAATAATTTGTCTATGTAATTCTATGTATAATTCGACTAAGTCCGCACGTTCGTCTCGTGACGCAGAGCGTTGATTAACGCGTGGACTCTCCGTTTAACCGTCTACGAATTCTACTAGTTAACCGAAGAACGGTAGACCGTAGAAACGTCGATTGTTGATTCGACTAGTTCAGTTCGTCCATTCAACGCCCGCCTCTAGTGCACATGTCTAACTGTCACCATCCATACTATTGCTATTTATGTTGATGGTGATGCTGATGCGCGATTTTCCGTAATTTTAAGTTATTTAAGTGTTTTTTAACAATGGAGGTGCTAGTGGCTAACGTGGATCATATTAAGTTTGACATAGATTATGCATTAGAAGAGCAATATGGGGCGCTACCTTTGCCCTTTCCTGGAATGGACAGTAAGATTTTTTTTTATAATTTCCATAATTTTAATTCAAAATTAGTATACAGTACAAGGTCTGTCTTGCTCTAGATAGCTTATTCAAAACCTTTAGTCACGCTCAGAAACAGATCAGCCACAATATTTTAATTGTCTCGTAGAATCCACGGCAGCAGTATGCGAATTCTTCAGCCAGCCTCAGGGCTGCGGCAACGGGCCACAATGCCCGTATAGACACGTCCGTGGTGACCGCACAGTTGTTTGCAAGCATTGGCTGCGAGGTCTTTGCAAAAAAGGCGACCAATGTGAATTTCTTCATGAATATGACATGTCTAAAATGCCTGAATGCTACTTCTATGCTCGATTCCATGCATGTCATAACAAGGAATGCCCTTTTTTGCACATAGACCCTGAAAGCAAGATTAAAGATTGTCCTTGGTAAGTCCATGTTTCACAAATGTACAAATATACCTATCATTTTCAAATCAAACTGCATATTTATATAGTTTCAGATTTACAAAAAGATTTTTCTTTAGAATAAAAATATATAATGCACAGATAGAGAGTACAGCAAAGATGTTTGGAGGGTGCAGTGGAGGGTTCTTGCTCTGAAACAGGGCAAGAACTATTTAAAAATTTTGTTAACCACTTTAATTAAACTTTTGAAAAAGAAGTTTAAATAAGCTTCGAAAATTAACAGTTGATTTGTTACACTAGACCAGCATATGTAAATGTGATTTTTTGATATTTGTAATTTCCAGGTATGACCGTGGTTTCTGCAGGCATGGTCCTCATTGCCGACATAGACATGTTCGTCGTGTTCTCTGCATCAACTACCTTGCAGGATTCTGTCCTGAAGGGCGCAGCTGCAAGTTCATGCATCCACGTTTTGAACTGCCTGCACCACCTGAGCAGACGAAGGATGCCAAACGACTGCCTATATGTCATTATTGCTCTGAAGTAGGCCATAAGGCTACTACTTGCAATAAAATTCCACAAGAGGTAAATTGCTTTCGCAATGGTATTGAATTTTCCAGATCTACATTATTTACACTTAACAACAGATTATCTAGCCTACATTTGAAAACCTAAGATAGATAATATAGTGAAACTCTATGTATTTCAGCAAAGAGAAGCAGCTCAAAAACAAGAAGAGGCACGTTACAGAGCCCTTGGTTATGTGAAACCAGTCAACGAACATGATGATGGAGGCATGCAAAACAACCCTATGCAAAGATTACCACGAGCAATCCATAAACCTCTGGAAGAAGTGACATGCTTCAAATGCGGGACCAAAGGACACTATGCAAACAAATGTCCTAAGGGACATCTGGCGTTCTTATCAAGTCAGAACCAAAACAACAATAACTTCAAAAAACCTAACTAATATAGATATGGTACACCAACCCGACTTCTCCCATTAAATAAATGGCGGTACATAAGACCTGAATATTTTGGTGCAAGACTTGTTTGAAAGTTTTTCACACTAAGTGAAATTACTCTAAAAAAATTTATTGGATTGTGTTCTAATTAATGCATGTACAGAACTGTAATTAGGCGTGTAATGTTTTCCCCATGTAATCATTCCCGAATAAATGGGCGTCGTCCTCGTCCCAAATTTTTTTTTTCATTATTTTAAGATATTAAAACAAAAAATAGCTAGATAAATTGAACATGAAACGAACAGTACTAAATTATGTAGAAATATGTGCGTCGATTACACGGAGAAAGAAAGAAACGAGTAGCTCTCTACGTAACAATCTTGCATCTGTCTTTGAGTGTTTATTTGACACGATTTAACACAATAAAGCGCATTTGTCAAGGCGTTAGCATTAGAGATGGGAAAAACTGCTTATTAATTTAAACGATTAAGCGTTATGCTTTTTTAAACGCTTTTTAGTTTGAAGCCAACAAAACCGTTTAGAAAACGTTTAAGTGCATAGACTTTTATGTTAAAAAAGCTTGCAACGTTGTGTTGATAGCGAAACGCAAGAGTAGACCACTCAAGGTTTTAAGATAA